CTATTCGAGCCATGCAGGGGGCGGGTCTTCTATGCTACGGTAGCTAGATGAGGCCCTCCTTCTCCGTCTTCCTGTATGCCCTCTGTGTGGGCCATCGTCTTTGGTTTTTGCTTCCTTTTTGATTTTATTTTCTTTCAAACTTCTTCTGAATCTAGTTACCTCAGCTACACCAACCGCTTTCTGGCTAGGCAGCGGCCACCGTCCTCCTCCACTGCCGAAACCCTGCCCTCCTCACAACCACAAATATTTGAACGGGATTCACTTTAAGACAGCATATACAGCCGCAGCTATCTGTGCATCCTACAGGCGACGTATTGCTGTATGCACGCATTCCCCCAGGTGTATACACAACACCGGCCTGGCGGGAGAGCCCAAGTGCTGCGCACGAAAGCAAGAATCATCACAAATAATATAACAAGATAAGCAGCAGCAACAGTAGTACAGCAAAAGAAACAGCAGCAAAATGCATTTCGTTAAATCCTCCGTCTACCAGGCGGAGATAACAGAGGGCGGAGTCCGTGAGCGGGAGGTCGACACCCGATCAAGAGAAGAAGTTGAACTTCAGGAGCGCCTGCGAAGGCTACCAGAATTCAGCAGAAGTAAGATACACACACAGCTAGCTGTCAGCTAGCTACAATGGCTAGCTGCTCGCTAGTTCACAGCCAGATGTCAGCTAGCTACTGTTTTTTCAACTGTTCGTCGCTAGCTAGCTGTCAGATAGACAGTGGCTAGCTGTTGGCTAGCTGGTCCGTCTCATACGTCCTGTAGCATTGATAGAAGGGCGTTTCTTTGGCTTTTCTGCTTAACTTGAATCCTCTCCCGTTGCCTTTATTCTCTATCTGTTAAAACTTTGCCGTCGACATTCGCGTTGCTGCTCTCTGCTGTGTGTTGGTGTATTCTGCAGATCCAAATTTCAAGAGGTGCGTCTTCTTCTGTTTGTTTTCTCTTTGTGTTTATCCTCTAAAGATATTTAATCATCATATAGTTAGCATATGTTTAATGTAATTACACTGAAACGATCAATAGGCGCGGGAACTCCACCGAGTTTTGCGGCTAGTGAACGCTATCTTGTTGAACTGGGGGAGCAGGAATACTAACTCTTTGCTTTTTATATCAATTAGAAGCGCCAGATTCTCTCTTTTTCTCTCTTTGTATCTCTATGTATCTCTCGCCATGAGCACGTGTATCTGTATTCCCCTCCCTTTCTTTCCTTTTTATATCCGTAAGATGCATCGCCTTCTCTTTCCTCTTCTTTGTTGGTGTTGAATGGTACAGCTATGCAGAACAGGTCCTCGAGGGGTTACCCCCCACCACACCGGAGCCGCCGCCACCAACAGAAGGAAAGCAGAATCCAAATCTTCCTCATTCGGTATATTGCACAAATATATATTTATTTTGTTCGATCTGTTTTCCTTTCATCGTTATCTGTTATTATTCATGATTTTCTTGTTTGTTCATCGGCAAAAAAGATCGTTCATCATTATCTTTTATTTTTCATGGTTGCATAGTATTCTCCATCAGTATTATTATGTTAATCTTCATCATTATATGCTATTATTAATTATTATATGTTATAGTTCATCATTGTTTGTTACACTTTATAATTATACGAGTAGTTGATGATTATTTATAACCTATATTTCCTCTTGAAAGCAAGCGGCTTGTGAACCTGCATATACACCGCAGGTGACGGAGGAAGAGTTTGAATTTTATGAGGCTT